ACACACACTGCATACACTAACACACTGCATACTAACACACACATACACTGCATACACCACACACACTGCATACACTAACACACACACTGCATACAATAACACAACACACACACATACACTGCATTCACTAACACAACACACACACACTGCATACACTAACACACACACTGCATACACTAACACACACACGCACTGCATACACTAACACAACACACTGCATACACTAACACACACACACTGCATACACTAACACACACACAGCATACACTAACGCATACACTAACACTGCATACACGCATACACTAACACAACACACACTCTGCATCCGCTACACTAACACACACTCTGCATCCGCTACACACTAACACACTCTCTGCATTCACTACACATTAACACTGCATTCACTACACTAACACACACTCTGCATCCGCTACATACTAACACACTCTCTGCATTCACTACAAATTTACACACACTATGCATTCACTGCACTAACACACACACTACATTCATTACACTGACGCACTCTGCATTCACTACACACTAACATACACTCTGCATTCACTAAACTATGCACACACTCTGGATTCACTATACTGACACACACTCTGCATTCACTACACTAACATACACTCTGCATTAACTGTACACACAGCATCCACTACACAAACATCCTGTATTCACAGTACACACACTACATCCACCACAAATTGAAACACTCTCCATTCACTATACACAGACACTGCGTCTGATACACACACTACAGACACTGCATCCACTAAACACATTTCATCTAGTACATACAAACACTACATCCACTACACAAACACACACTACATCATTGTACACACACTACATCCACTACTCAAAAACACTCTGCGTTCACTATACACACTGCATCCGCTACACCACACACTCTGCATTCATTGCACAAACAGTATCTAATACACACAAACACTACATTCATTACACACATTCTAATTCACTTCCACTATACACACACCACATTCAGTCCTGCATCATTGTGAGCGGACTAGGTAGGGCGTGGGCGGGCCCGCGAGGAGGGGGGGGGCCCAGACCTTGTGCTTTGTCATGGGCCCCAAATTTTCTGATGGCGGCCCTGCTCAGGCTAGCTGAGGGTTGGACCTTAGAAAGGATGCTCCTAGCGCATACCAAACACCATCAGCACCGTAGATACCATAAGTACTGCAGACCCGACGAACCGCCGCTGCTTGGTTGGGGTCTCGCCGTCTTCTACCCACCCTGGACCTACGACAAGGCTCCAGGTTCCAGTGGGAACCTCTCTTCCTTCCAGAAAGCGAAGTAGGAACAGGAACAAGCTCTTCAGTGAAGCTAAGGGAGTATACAGAGCATAGCAATCCCTGTAGTGATTATAGCTGTCCCCTCCAAACACGAGTCAAGGCTGCGAGTTGAGGGTCAAGTAGAACTGGTTTAATGAGCACTCAGGACTTTCTTTTATACACATTTTCCCACAAGGTTACAGAGGACACAAAGTTACAACAGCCAATCAACAAAATACAGTACAGTCAGACACTCCCAGCTAAGGCACACAAACCCTCCCTTCTGCCTCTGATATAATTACTGAACACAATGGGCTAACTTAATTATCACAGGCAGAAAATATATAGTTTTACACAATATTCATAACTTCAAAACTATACATGCAATTTCCATAAAAGTTATATTTTATGAACCAGCATAATCAGTGTAGCGGATGGCACTGGGCTGTCCTGAGAATTACATAGCTTTTAACTGCATTCGTGTAAATGGCAAAGTTATATGTGTTAAATGTATTGTATTCGTCTGATTGTTCGGTAGAATCATTCCAACAAATAAGGGAATGAAACTACCGAACAGTCAGACCTCCCCGGTGTGAAGTGTGCCTTCAATTACCCGTTGCAACATTGTTGCGAACGGGTAATTGACAAGCTGAGTAGTAGTCCTTTGTTCTCTTGGGTGGCCGCCATTCGGGAAACGAACATGTGGCGGCGGCCATTTTAACCCCTTAAGGACACATGGCATGTGTGATATGTCATGACTCCCTTTTATTCCAGAAGTTTGGTCCTTAAGGGATTAAAACTCCTGAACAGTGGTGTTTTGCCGGCGAGTGTCTGGAACTCAAATCGGACACTCAACTAGGTGAACACCGCTGAGACCTCCACAAGCCCGGTCCGTTCGGTTCCAATCTACCAAACGGCCCCTCGTTCGGTAGATAGAAACAACCGAACGAAGGGATTCAGGCGATCCCTCCCTAGTCTCTGTAACTGGAGGCTTTCGTGTAATTTATTCCCTTGTTCCAGGACCAACCGCAGGGCCCCATCGCAGGGAACCCAATTCGGCTACTCTTTCCAGCGCGGTCGGTCATTTTATTCCCTCCATAAATTTCCCGAACCCCTGGTCTGATCTGGGTGATTTTTGGATATGTTGTTCACCCAGATCAGGGCTACCAGGGGATGTATAATTTAAAGGGTTTAGGGGTACATCCAGAAACGGGGGGAATTGGTGTCCTGGATAAGGGGATTATGATGCAGGCTGAGGGGAGGAGATATGTGGGAGGTTACCAGAACAGGATTGGCTACTGTAATAATGGATGGAAATCCTTCCCTTGCCTGGGAGCATGCTTTATAAGGCCACTGTATGAATAAATCTTTTGTTCTACTCCTGATACTGTGTGTCGTCCAGTGATTGGGGAAAGTGATGGGATATTATTTGATTGTAATGCTGATTGTGCTGGATATTCTCTTGGATTTATTACTTGTTCCTGCATCCTCTTAAAGTACTTGGTGGAGTTTAGCTGTGAGAAATCAGCTCTCCGCTACAATCAGTGAACAAACATATTCAAAATTCATGCGAATTAGTCCAGTGGTTCGGAAGATAGCTGGAAGTCATATTTGAGCGACTGCAAGCATGGCTTTCATGCCCAAAACAGTTCCACAGATTTAGGCTGTGCAGCCGGTCTATCTTCTCCTCTATCCTGAGATAATTGGCTTAAGTGGGTGTGGTAAGCCAATTATCTCCAGGTACAGGAAATATATCTAAGTCCAAAAACTGTTACAAAAACTACATAAAAGTACATAACTTATATAATACAATGTTTAACCTATATGTCCAACTTATCCCCAGATAGCTTGGATCTGAGCACTCAATATGTCCTCAGATTCCACAAATACAGTTGGATCGCCATGGGGTTAAACAACAGCAAGGGCTGATGAGAGATTGAGGAGGGACAAAGCAGCCAGTTTCAACTGGTCTGGCAGTGTACCTGGGACAATGCCCTGCCGGAGAACAATAGGACAGGGAAAAGGGGAGGGGAAGAGGCACATTTTGCCATGGAATTAAAGGGGCAGAAAAAGTGTATAAAAATCCAATAAGCCCAAGTAGATTTTTTAAATGGCAATACACCCCAAGGGCCATAGTCTTAAGGCAGGAGGCTGGCAATCAGGCTCCTCCAAAAGCCAGTGGCAAGGGGCAGTTTGTCACAATAATGGTAGTATCTC